AAAGGGTAATTCTTTTTAATATTTCTGGCCTTAAGCCTTTAAAAAAATCTAAGGAGCGAACACTTAAAATAAGGTAGTGTAAACTCTTTCTTCTCACTCTAATTACTTCACCTGGTATTATTCCACCATGGTAGAACTGCGTTTTTAGTTTTCCTCTTTAACGTCAGGATTTTTTTTTAATTAATTACACTGCCAGAACAAAGTATTGGCACAGCAAATTTTTCACAATATAAGCAACAATTTTTATTCTAATATTTTTCCGCCAATTTTGTACAAAAATATGGCTCATTCAACAACAAAAACATAAAAATATAATTCCTAAACTTTGTGCAAAACTCGCGAAAATTTTTCGAGTATGCAGTTTTGTAGCCCAATAAATTTTAGAAAAAATGCAAGTTCGCAGTTAGTCAAAAATCGCGTTGATTTCTGAGATTTTTTTTTGTTGGAGGTGTTTTGCATTTTTCCCATTTAAAGTACATATTTTCGAAAAAATTTTTTGTATGGAAGAGAATGCGGGAAAAAATTGCCAAAAACGGTAATTCCTAGCTACTTAAAACTTGCACCTTATTATAATAGATCTAATTGGGCAGATCTGCATACTCAAAAAAAATCTGATTAAAAAGTTGAAAATTTTCATGTAAATTTGTTGAATTTTCGCGAGTTTTGCAGAAAGTTTAGGAATTATATTTTTATGTTTTTTGTTATAGAATGAACCATATTTTTATACGAAATTAGCGGAAAAATATTAGAATGAAAATTGTTGCATATATTATGAAAAATTTGCTGTGCCAATACTTTGTTCCGGCAGTGTATATATTTAGAATATTTTTTATGAATTTTTATTTGTAATTAAACAACCGTCATCGTTGACTCCAAATGTTTAATGTGGACGATTGTGTTTTACAAAAAGCTCTTTTTCATTAAACAAGTTAAATGGGGTCAATTTGAACGTAGTATTTATTAGAAAAATTTATAGGTAACATAGCAGATTGAACGACATAAATTTCAATGCTTTGTTTTGAAATTTTTTATTGAGAACAACAAAACAATATACAATTTCATAGATACATAAAAATTTTCATAGAACAACAAAACAGTATAAAATTTCATAGGTAAGTACATTAGCTCATAATACAAAGAAGAAGGTAGTTTCAATAAACAACTTTTGACGGATAATACAATTTTTAAAAGTTTCATAAATTGTGAGTATTCTCAACGGCCTTGCCACCTTGATAATATTAAAGCAATAAATCGGACATTTATACCAATTTAATAATATTTCAACACAAAAATCGTTATCAGTGCTTGGTAATTTTTTTACTTACGTGGTTCGCACCTTTTTTCATTAAAAATATATAAAATGTATAATGTTAAAGGAGACTTCATTGGAATCGTTCTTTTTATTTTATAATAAAAAACACGAGAGCATTATGTTGTTATTTTTTAATTTTCTTATTTTGAATGCAATCTTGCGATTTGAAAATCTAATTCTAAAGAATGTTCTTTACAAATAAAATCCTTTTTAATCGTCAATTCCATGTGAATAAATTGTTCTTATAACTTAACATGCAAAACAAAAACAAATTGGGAAAAATTATTTTTGTTTTGCTAAAAATTTTTAAGAATACTAATAGGGTTCAGTAATTTTGTCAAAATTTACTTTTAAATTTCTCGTCAGATTTTGCAAAAAATTAAGCTTTGTGCTTAGCGTATTCGAAATTTCGAATTTAAAATTTTCAATGTATGCAAAAACTTGAATTCGGCTTGTGCAGACCGCTCTCCGATAAGCAATTAGCATAAGTATAATTTTAATCACTTTCTTCATCCGTTCTGAAACCAAACTTCGCCAAGCTCATTTTTGAAATTATGCATTAATATACAGGTTCATAATATTCGACATCTCTGAGTGGACTAATGAAATCTTCTGCTTAAAAAAATATTACTGCTCGTGATCAAGTAGCATGAATTTAATGAAATGTCCCAATTTCATTAAAATCAAATGGTTTTGTATCCAGAGTTGCCATATGTACGGATTTCGCCCCATTTTGGGGATTTCTGAAACCATTTGGGGATAGATTTTTTCGTTTGGGGATGTGGGGATTTGATGGCGATTTTTGTTTGGTTTAAAATATTCATATTGAAATTAAAATACATATATTTTACTGCCTGCCCTTAAAAATTTCTCAAACAAAGATTTTCTTACTTTATTATTCGTGGAAAAATGCCTGTTTTAATTGCTTTGGCTGAACACACAATTTTCTCTCACTTCATTACACCAAATTGTAAAAGGATCGCTGTGATTGGCATTTACCGAGTGGACTGCATATATTTCTGATTTCCTTAGTGTAAAAAGAATTTTACAAAGTGGCAAGCGCACAAAAGAAATTGACGAACTTACAGACAGCAATGGGAATAGGAACCTTGGGCCGAAGGTATGTTGTTAAATAGTCTCCAAAAACCATAAAAAATAAGCAACCGCTATACGTAAATAACCAAATGATCACATATATATGTACACATATACAACTGTGAAAATTTGTAATATAAAAGAATTCGAAACTGTAATTAAACTGAAGTAACAGAAATGAGAATACATATTTTTTTATTTCTTACTTAAGGGGATTTAAAAGAAAAATGGGGATTTTTTGGGGATAATTGCGGCTCGATATGGGGATGCGCTATACAAAATTTCTGGCAACACTGTTTGTATCATGCATTAGCCTGAGACGATTTTTTTCCGTCAACGGGTATAGTAGAAACGTAATCCCCGGAAAATTCTAAAAACGATTTCCCTTGAAACCATAGGCCTCAAATGAGTTTAAGGTCCATGCAAAGTGATATGAAAACTCTAACTAACTCGTATTGAGCGGAAAAAATTATCCAGCAGCAAAAATTCTTAGATTTTAGCAGCATTCGCTCTCAAAGAGACAAAATATCCACATAAGTACGAGAACGCAAAATTTTCAAAAACTTGCAACCTTCGAAACAGCTGATCATTTCCCCAGTTACCACTGGTGGTTCATTAAACAATTTATTTTCTGCTTGGTACATTTTCCCAATTTGGCAATTGAATTTCTTGGGGTAAGAGAAACCTTTTTAAAATAAGTTATTTTTCTTAAAATTATTTGTGATACCACATGATGACGCATTCATAAATAAGAGAAGCTCCTCCCCAGAAGCTCATTGATCCCAAAAAATTTACCTTTAAAATCATAAAATTTTCATTTCAACAATCAACCTACCAAAAGTGACTACGTTAGCAAAAAACAGTTCAGCATGCTATATTTTAATTTATTTTGGTATGTTTAAAGGAAATGTATGGTACAAACGAAAAACGTCAGATCGCAACCATAGTCAGCACCTTTAAAGTAAACAAGCGGGAGTTTAATAGTAAATTAACAACCCTATGCTGTAATCTGTCGTAGATTCGATTTTGCTACGAATCGTAAAATTGGTATGCTGAAATCCGAGTTGTCGTATCGTAATTTCGAAATTCGTAGGCTATCTTCGAAATTCGTAATGTTGATATTCCTGAATCCGACGCAGCTGTCATTTTTATGTATTTGTCGGAAATTTTGTACGAATAGCAACTCGTGTCGGAGGGAAACAAATTGTTTCAAAATATCAATAAAGTAAAGTGTGTAAACGCAAAAATATGAATGTAAGTTAAAGTGTGAATAGAAAAACAATGTATTATTAAATGTTTATCAAATTATCAGGTCGAGGATCACAACCAATCGCTCGCAATACGAACAACTGGTGGAATGCATGAGCGAAAGGCCGGACATTGGTCGAGGCTTTGTAAAAGGAGCTAAAGGGGATATGGTGGAATTTCGGGAAAGCGTTGCAAGAATTAAAGCGGCACAATATCTAGTGAAATGGAGGCCCTTAAAAAGAGGGAGCTTACATTTTATCATTTAAGCTAAATGGATTAGAACAATCTCCTTTGTATATTAATGCAACTGTTAGCTGTTCTTCCTCCTGGAACAAAAGTGCACAGGCCACCGACTCCTTTGTATTTTACTTAATTAAGGAAAAGTCTTTTCAAATAATGATTAAACTAATATTTTAATTCACTTGCGAATATATTTATTTTGATTTGTTTCTGCCAAAGCAGCTGATTAAAAACTTCGAATTTCACGTTTTTAGCTGGCAGTGCCGTTGCTAGTTACGATCGGATTACAGTATAGGGGTTTAACTAAAAATAAACCCAACCAACGTTGCGCTTGATAAATTTACTTCGTTTTTCGTTATATATGTAGTATATGCTAGAATAATAAAATTAACAATAAATAATTCAAAAATACTATATTTTCCTCCATATGCTCTCCCAATTTCCCCTACTTTGCAAGTTTTTTGGGTACGAGAACACAAAACCGGTGAACGTTGTCTAAAATTTTTAATAGTTTTAGGTACGAGTACACTCCTATTAGCAAACAGCTGCATGCACGGCGCCACCGCATTGCTCATTATGTTTATTGCATTAGTTATAAATGAAACAGTCTGCAGGAAATCGTGGTAGCAAACAAAATACGGCGTATAGTGTCGATTAGTAAATAGAATTTGTAAAATATACATATTTTAAGAGTCCTAAATTTTTTACAACGGGATGTCAAAATTTTTTTCTTGCCAAAACCTGGGACATTTTGCGTCAAAGCATGTTTTGTACCGGGACCGGGACATAGTTCTTAAATACCGGATAGTCCCGCCGAAAACGGGACGGTTGGCAATTTTGTTATGTTTAATATGGAGCGGCCGCATGCGCATGTGTATATATATATCTCTATGGGCCGGTTTTTCAATGTCTGGTTAACACTAACTACAGGTTAAACATAACGACTTCATAACTTATAACAGGGAGTCGATAAGGTCGTTAACGATGTTTAACCTGGAGTTATAACTATAGTGTTAACCAGACATTGAGAAACTGGCCCTATGTATATCAATATTTTGCTTAAATTTTATTGATTCCATGACCATCCTTTGAAGGGAATACTCACACGTTCATTGTAGATTTCAAGGAAAGACGCCTTTAGCACATAGTTGACATCCTTGCGATCTTTTATCAACTGGAAGAGGTACAAGAACGATCGGAAGATGAGACCATGCCGTGGATCATTTAAATTTGGCTTGCCGACAAACTGAAAGAAATAGGAAAAATCTAATCAGTAACTATAAACAGTATTCCCAGGATATAACAACGGATGAGCAAGTATGCTTACAAGATAAAACAAACTCTAATTCATATTTTTTCGAGTGTTTGATAACAATTTTTACCAAAGCTTATAAATAATTTTTATTTATAAGTTTTTGCGTCGAATTTAAGTTAACGTGGGAAATCGGGGAATGGGCTGTTTTTTTTTTTTGGGAAAGATCAGTTTACATGGGAAGTTTTTTCGTGAGGAATTAGGTGTAAGTCGAAATGTCACACCAGTTTTATAGCTCGTTCAATTCTAGTATAATAAACAGGGAACGTATTTTATGGAAAATGCCTTTTTTCTGCTAAAGAGATAGATTATATTAGATTAAGAATGTCCACGATTTAACTTTCCCTGATTCCATATATACTAGAGCTATCAAACTATCGATGATACTATCGATAGTATCGATAGTCTGGTCACATGATATAACTATCGATAGTTTTACCACTATCGCCACTATCGTTTCATCGGTAGCGTATTCTCTTTCCTAGCGCTTTTGACATTTGCGCGTATTGGTTCAAAGAGAACAAAACTTTGCAGCATTATTTCATGAACTAACGAAGAAAGAACCCCCAGGACTGAGTGCGAAAAAAAGTATTTTTTTTGCAGTGACGTCATTTTTTCGCTGTCATGTGAATGAAATGGAATGAAACCATGTGTGTGAATGAAACAACCGATTAAAAAATGATGTATTGGTTCAAAGAGAACAAAACTTTGCAGCATTATTTCATGGACTAACGAATAAAGAACACCCAGGACGGAGTGCGAGAAAAAGTATTTTTTTTGCAGTGACGTAATTTTTTCGCTGTCATGTGAATGAAACGGAATGAAACCATGTGTGTTAATGAAACAACCGATTTAAAAATGACGTTATCAACTATTATTTTTTTCCTAAAATGCAATTACAAATGCACGGTTGCCATGCTGGTGATTTCGTTAGTTGGTTCATGGCATTATTTCTAAAAGCGCCATTTTTTATTTTAAACGTGGAAATGGCAGAGGTTACATTGCCGTCTTAAGAGCGTGTCAGACGTGGCAATGCAGTATATTTCAAAAGACTGTCAATTTGAGAAATTTCAGAAAGCAGTTTCATGAGCAGTGAGACCTTGCATATATAGTGTTTCTCGAAAGAAAGTTTTTTATTTCCGAAAGGCGAATTGCAGGGAAAATTTGTGAAATCGCTTTTTGACTGTTTGCACGGTGAACGAATTTCTAGCAATATTTCTAGATTCTAAAATGCAACCGTGAGCCGCTAAAATAAACAAATTTATAAAAGCAAGATAACGAAAAATAAATTGATTTAGAAAAACATATGAAATGGGCCGATACTATCGATAGTCACCCTTAAGACTATCGTAAAACATCGATGGACTGGACTATCGATAGTTTGACAGCTCTAATATATACACATTTGATGCTGCCTTTTCTTACCTCTTTTAAGATACTAGTGTTCGCCCAACGGTTGAAATTCAACCACTATAATTAAGGGGAATTGAGGTGGGCTGAGCTGAGCTGAGTTGAGTTAAATTGAGAGTAGAGGTCGAAAATATCCCTCTCCACTTTGAAAGTGTCCCAAAACAACCGTCAATATTTAAGAGAAAAAACAGAACAGGTGGTTTATGTTTCGTAAATGTGTGCTCCTCTCAGTGAGAAAGGGTTATTTGCATATATTTTTCCGTTACTGTTGGACACGGACACTTATCGCTGGAAGAGGAAAAATAAGTGTTAGAGCGCTGTTACCCACGAACGCCCTTATATTAGTAAAATATATAAATTCACTTTGATCTTAATTTTTGCATTTATCTTTACGCATCTTTGTTTTTGTTTTTATACCCGAGCGCACTTGCGCAGAAGGGTATATTAATTTTGTTCACATAAAGGTTGTTTGTAACAGTCAAAACGAATCGAGATAGCCATGTCTGTCTGTCCGTCCATCCGTGTTCACGATAACTCGAGCAAAAATTGAGATAACTCAACGAAATTTGGTATGCAAGTTTCCATTAAGCCAAGGTAGGTTGGTATTGAAAACGGGCGAAATCGGACTGTAACCACGCCCACTTCCCATATAACGGTAATTTCCAGACATATGAAAACTGCGACATAACATAACAACAAAACACAAAACAACTCAAAACAACAGAATACAACGCAATAAAAAACAATAAAACACTACAGAACACAGCACAAAACAAAACAACACAACACAATACAACACAAAAAACAATAGAACACAAAACAAAACAAAATAACACAACACAACACAATATAAAACCATACAATAAACACAATACAACATAATACAAAACAATACGACACAACACAATACAATACTAAACAATAGAACACAATACAACACCGCACACCACAACACAAAACAAAACACCACAGCGCAACACAAAACAACCCAAGCAACACAACACATCACAATAGAAGCCAATGCAAAACAATACAACACAACACAACACCACAGAACACAACACAACACAACACCACACAACACAACACAACACAACACAACACAACACAACACAAAACAACACAACACAACACAACTCTCTTTTTTTCCTTTTTTTTACGTTGTCAATTTTTAATTTATCATTTTCTTGACTTTCATCCAGATCGATATGTTCATTATTTGCTTCATCTACATATTCTTCCACACCTTTACTACTATATTAAGTATATAAATTTACCTTGCCTTTTGTCTTTAGGGTTTGGTTCTTTACTTTATTTTAATCTTTGCCTTTATCCCTATATATTTTCTACATATTCAACTTTACCTTCTTCCTTGTATGAGTCCTAATATATTCATGTACATCAGTGGCGGATCCAGCGGCTGGGTTTTGGGGGTTCAACTAAGTGTCAGTCAATGGCGGACCTACGGGGGCTGTCCGACACTGATGTACATAGATATGTACATAAGTCTTAAGGCTCTGTTATGCATACTTGGCATTGCATGCACCNCTTTATTTTAATCTTTGCCTTTATCCCTATATATTTTCTACATATTCAACTTTACCTTCTTCCTTGTATGAGTCCTAATATATTCATGTACATCAGTGGCGGATCCAGCGGCTGGGTTTTGGGGGTTCAACTAAGTGTCAGTCAATGGCGGACCTACGGGGGCTGTCCGACACTGATGTACATAGATATGTACATAAGTCTTATTCCTAAGCTGTTGCTTAGCACGTTTCTTAATTCAGTATCAATATTAAAGCATACATTTAAGAGGCATTTCCGCCTCAACCATGTATGGTTTGTTTATGTATACATAGATGAATTATATTTAAAAATATTTTTTTTTTTGTAAAGAAAACGATGTCCTATGTGAGGAATTTTACAAAATTTCAGGCAAAATCGGGGAATTTCATTATTGAAATCAGGGAATTCTCAAAAATGAATTGGCTACCCTGCTAAGGGCCAAATTCAATTAATAGGTGCGTTCCAGCGATTTTTGGACTTAAACATGTTGAACTGTCAAAAAGCAAAATATCCCTCACAAGAGAGAAGAACTGAGAAAAACTGCTGGAACGCAAAAAACCATTTTTCCTGCAAGTATATAAATGTCATATGTTTGTTTACAGAATTATTTATTCAGGTAAAAATTCCTACACACAAAATTTTACTTCTCAAAAGATTTCGTTATTTTGGTGCAATTGCCTTCTACTCTGCTAGAAATATTTCCTATAAATTGCATCAGCTCTTTAACTTGTTGTTTACGTGTTGCAACACTGCTCTTCATTTCACAGTTTTCATGAATTTGCAGGAAGAAACACTTTGGACTAAATCCTGAAACTTCTAACTGAGAGTAAGCATAGTTTATTCTCACGAAACTGCTTTCAGTTACAGGAAATTTGTCGACTGGAACACTTTGCGGACTAAATCCTGCAAAACCTGCAAATCGTACTGCTGCTGGAACGCAACTTATTTAAGTATGCCAAAAAAGTTGCAATAGCTTGTTGCTTGAACGTGTTTTTGCATATGTTTGTTTAGTTTACATTTGTATATATTTAAATATGAGAAATGCAACCATGTTTTTATCGACACGAAACGTAAACAAACAACTACATAAATGCAAAAACAATTTTAAGGAACAAACAACGGCGTTGCCACGTGGTTGGCATATATACATAAATAAAGTTAGTCTGAAACGCAACGAAAGCTAAGGGCCCTTGCGTGGCTGCGTGCGTGCTTGGAAATTGAGTTAAAGCGCAGTTGCCCACGGACGTAAAAACGGAGAACGTGTCAGCTGACACGATCTATCTTATGGGATCTGCGTGTTAACAAAAAATCTCTATCTTTCTATCAACATCAAGCTTGATATGTTTGTAGGTTGTAGCTGTTCTTTTTGCCAATTTTTAACGTATCATTTTTGTTGTTATTTAATTTTGGTTATTTTTTTCTTGACAACACCCATGCAAATCCAAGTTACCAACTTTGTGCAATATCAAAAAATTCAACAAACTTTCGTACAAATATCGAGCTGTTTTAAAAATTCTAAAAAATCAAGCCATTTGAAACTTGTACTTTATTCTACTAGAATTCAATGATGTAGCCGATACTAAGAATCTAATTAAAAAATCGAATTTTTTACAATTCGTTGATTTTTTTTTAATTGCAGGAATTTTTAAGGCAGTGTCACTCGATTGGTACATTTGTACAGAGTTGTGCATTTTTATATTGGTCTATTGGTACAAAATAAAAAAAATTTGATTTTTTTTGTAGTCAAAAGCTTGGTACAATACAGTAATCTGGTATTGAAAAATTTCAACAAATTATTTTACGTGATTGGGATAAAGAATAATATTTGGGTAATCACACAATTGGGAAACGATTTGCACCGAATATCGGCAAATTCCTTATCGTGTGAACTGTCTTTAAACTTGTATGTATTTATACGGATGTTGGTAAAGAATGAACTATAAAAAGCTAACCAAATTAAATAACAACAAAAATAGTATTTAAAAACTTGTAAAAATTTTAATATCATTTTTTCGACTACTGCACATTAGAGGTGTACGCCGCCGAGCCACGCCGCCGCCGCCGCCGATTTGTGTCATTCCTACCGCGCCGCCGCCGAGTTACGAAAATATCGGCGCCGCGGCGGCGGCGGCGGCGTTCGGCGCCTACGGAATTTTGTACAAAATTTCATGATGTACATATGTACATTGAATACATCGTTTGGAGGAACTAAATACTACCTGTATAAAAACACAATTTTACGAAATGAAAATTACACTTTTAAATTAGTTTTTTTTTACATAATTTGGGCCACTGGACAAGAATATGATCTCCTTTCTTTTTCCAACAAAAAGTAACTCAGAAAAAACATAGGTAACATATTTTTCGACGAAAGCGTTTATTACAGTTAAATTGGGGCCGAATACTGGTAATCTATCGATTTTTTTCCGCAGTCGACAATTCTTTTCAATCCTACAACAATACTACTTTTTTATAAACCTACTACAACAACAAGGAAGTTATAACACATCAAAAACTTTAACGCCAATATCTCAGAAAGCAGTTTTAATAGAAGCGTCCTCTTTGCATCGAACTCCTCAATTATTGGAGATAAAACAAAGATAATATTTTAAACAAACACATTTTTTGCTAATATTTGTATTCGTAAGTTATTTTATTCTGTGGTCCCACATACGTATACAAGTACTAGGTGGCTGTGTGAAAATTACTTTAGCATTCCTTAGTGGTGGTCAAACCCCAGGAAGGTTTTGCTCCCTCGCATCGCAATGTTTTCTACACAGAGTCAAAGTTCCCTCTTTATGGTAAACATTAGTATTATTTTTCATTACATTCGGTTCTCCTTAGAAAAATTTGGAGCTTCTTATTTTAGTGTAAATTTTAACCATCTATAAGCCATTTTTTCAACAGTGGGTCAAGAAGGCCCGTTCTGGTTCGAGTTGATGGGTTAAACTTTTGGAAAAAAGTAGACTAACCTTGTTTTCAATATGTAATCCGCAAAAAATCGTAAGAACTCCGTAATTTAACATAACGGTTGATAAGATTATTGTAAACATTTATTTAGAGCGACATAAATTACCCCAATAACTAAACTTTTAAAATTTTTTTATTTCTTTAAATTTAAATAGTAGTAGTATCGGATCTGATAAGATTAGTAGCCTCATGGGTCTTTGAAATCTACCTTATGAGCAGTAGCGCCGGCGTCGCCGCCGAATATTTTTGAAGTTGACCACGCCGCCGCCTCAAAGCCTGTCGGCGTAAACCTCTACTACACATACATATGTTGACTAGATTACTCGGCCGTGCTATCATAGTAGCACAATGCCACTAATATTTGACTTACAAACAAAATACAGGCAGGAATTTCTAAATTTCAACACTGTTTGTGTGAAATATTTTATTTTTATCAGTACTTTTCTTTTAAAAAATCTATGTTGCCATAAAAGTGAAAATAAAAAAATATGATCAAATAAAATTTTGGCAGAGTGGACATAGGAAACAAAAAAAACCTGAAACAAGTGGCTTAACCTTCATCAACCTGTGAACGTTCTCGAATGCTGTTTTTGGACATGTCTGATCGCAGTAAATGAAGGAAGGCGACGGATCTGTCGAAGTCTACAGCAAACCAGAATGATTTATTAATGCAAGCATCAATAATGTTGGCACCATGATACAATATTTAAAGGTAGTTTCACTTTTTCTTAGCCGCTATTGCTCCCATTTGACGTAAACTGTGCTTTTGGCATTTTCTTTTGAAATCGAGCTACCATATTCTTTGACAAAAGTAAAAAAGTGATTGATTACCTACCTCAAAAAAAAAAAATACAATTATTTAAAAGAAATTAATGCCTTTAGCGATAGTGAGTATAAAACGGAAGGTAATTGAAACATTACATTGCAGTCACATAAAATATGCATTTACGGTTGTTAATTTTTTGTATTGTTTTTTAGTAAGATGAGCTGCATATTTAGGAGCTGCAAAAATAACAGAATAAATTGCGACAAAACTAACATACAGTTTTTTCGACTCCCGGCGGAACCACATATGCGGGAAAAGTGGATATCCGCGTGCATGGTAACTGGAAATGCGTTACCAAAAGTATCGTTTGTTTGATCCGGGCACTTTTCCGCGAAAGATTTCAACCGGAGGAACGGATGCGCCCAATTAGAGCGAAACGCGATACCAGCAGGAGTAGAGTGAGTATGCTTCCCTAGAATCCGAAACAAAGCAACATCCTACTTAGTTTCTTAAAGGACCAACTGCATATAATATATCATGTAAAAGGTAATGCTACATTTTTGGTGTGCCTTACATTTATAGCAATTTAAATCAATACGCAGCTCTTTTAATACGAACAATCATGTAAGTATATTTACCTCGTGTGTTACAACTTACTTTTTAATAAAATAAAAATTCCTTAAAAAAATATTAAAAATTCCAAAATAATTATTTGATTAGGTGGTAGTGCTAGTTCAACAATTTACGAAAAGTAGAAATGTCAGTAAGCACAGTTTATGTCAAAAAAATTAAAATTGAAACAACCTTCTTTTTTTTGTATCATGGTTGGCACCAAGGCACATTAAACAGGTAGTATCAGTAGAGCAAAAACAACATTTGCGTGTATTTTGTTGTTGCTTCTGGTATCGAATGTGTCAAAAACTTTTTTCTTCTAAATCAAAGCGTGCCATGTGAAATACAAAAAATTATAAAAAATAAAAAATTGAAATTGGAAAAAATAAAAATTGATGCAACTTTCTTTCCTAGTAAATTTGTTTGCTTCTCGAAGCATTGATCCATCCTTTGCAAGGCCCAGTAATCAGCGGTCGTGCTGCCGAGTTGGGCGAACGTTCCAAAAGCTGCTATTCAATCGCTTGTTTTGTATGGGAAAAGGTTTCACATGCAAATGGATTTTAACAATTCAGAATTTTTGTGAGAAAAAATTAAAAATATTTGACATTTTCGAGACCAAATAATTTGAAAATAAATCAAATCAGCTGCTCTACTGATACTACCTGTTCAATGTACCTTGGTTGGCACTAAAAGAAGGAAAGAAAGGCTGACTTCCAACACGTCAATTGCTTTGCATACGTACAAAGTATAACGTTCAATAACGCCGAACGATGTTGACGATTACTACGTTTATACGCATGCATAACTCGCTTTAATTCATTTCGCCGCGATTCAAAACATATGTATAAACTGAATTTCAATTCGCTTTGAAAGAGCGAAGTGTTTTGGCTCACAATCCATTTCAAATCGGTAGTTTATTTCTCCAGACAGTTAGAAAGAGTGTATAAACACCGCTCTCACTCAAAGCGAATTGGAGATCAGCTGTTCCGCTCAAATTCCAAATAATCGCATCAGTATTTAAAAGCTGATTAATAATAATCGTTCTTTTTCTTTGCCACGATTTTATAATGCCGAATAAAATTAGATTTTTATCACTTTCCATTATGTTAACTTATAAAATGTCAAATGAAAACAGCTTATTTTGTTTGCTTTTGAAGACGGTTACTTTGATGCCGAAATAAAGCCGTAAGTATAAACACTAGAGCGAAATGTGTACGGTGTCAATGCGCTTTCAATTAAGTCGATTATTCTGTCCGTATAAACGTAGTAGATGTATACTTTTCCAAAACGCATTGCTGTGGAGAAATTCAAAGAAAATTTACCAGACAAAGCTACCTATAGAATACTGGAATTTGATCGGTTATTTACCCTCTCTGTTCTCGTTAGCATTCTTTCACGTATGGATTTTTTCATTAGAAGTGTTCATTTCTCATGATCGGAAATATTGCCTAAAATTCTGCAGTTTACGCAACTAAGCAATTGCAGTTAGTACGCAGCGTCACGAAAACACAGCGTTGTCCTCTAAGATATAAGATTCGTTATGGTTGTCAGAGGGTCAATTCCCGTTCTGCGTTATCGTGAAATGAGGTGAAAAGTATAAAATTAACACCGAAATAAATGCGGTGTGAAGGTGTTATTTGTATCACTTCACGATACCGCAGAACTGGAGTTGACCCTCAGGTGTCCTGCCTTCCACGCAAATTCTTTACCCACATTTTTTATCCAGTAATAAATTATGGCGAAATTAATGTTACGTTCTTTTGGCATAACGGAATTCGAATAGCAATAGCAAGTCTCAAAATAGTAAAGCTGTAGGAAATGATAATTTGTCAGTATAGCTAGTAAATAATTGCGGAAAGGAGTTGGTAAAGTGCATATACCAAAACATGCTTTTATTATGTTGATTATTAGGAACTATCTACAAAATGTCTATATATCAGTTAATATTTGCATTTAAATATTCAAAATTTGTCAAAAAGAAGACGCGTTAAAGCTTTCATAAATGAATACATATCATCCCATTTATGAACTGAAGTTTCGCCGGATTAGCCTCTAATCTATTTATCAATGTACAATGTCTAGAATCTTACCAGATCGGGTGGACCGGTTAGCGTATGTGTTTTTCCCGAACCGGTTTGTCCATAACAAAATGCAGTGCAACTAAACCCTTCGATTGCCATTTCAATTATACGTTTGATGCCTGAATAATCCAAAATATCTTCTTGAGTTGCTCCAGGTTCAAACACCACATTATAAGTAAAGACGTGCACGTTTTCTTGATTTCGCGATCTTCTGTTGCTGCCCTCACTGCTTTCGATCTACATATATACATACATACATAAAGAGAAAGTGGAAATAAATCAATGTGCATAAAGAAACTGCCACACGAAGTAGAAGTTATATAAATGCATGCATACATATGTACATTAAAGTGGTCCAAAAATGTATGTAAAAAAAATAAGGTCGGATTTTTAATGCCGCCACCCCCTAGGATTGTTATATACCGAAAAAAATATACCCATATTTTTTTATTTTGAAATCAAAAAGTATTTACGGAGTGCTCAAAGCGCTCAAAGTTTTCAGTGTATTTTATATGGAGAAAAAACAATTTTTCGTAGAAATTGTATAAAATACTTGAAAATCAATATTTATCGACCGGAAAACTGTCGTTCTCTTCAGGAGAATGCCAGTATTAATATCCAATTGTTTATTTGACCATTTTTTATGATTAAAGATTTTTTATTGGTCCCCAATTGCATTCTCTAAAAGTGTGTTTGCATTGTTCAACTTTGCGTTCAACATTTGCGTTCAACTCAGCGCAGGGTTGCACGAAAAAAAGTTGAATGGCTAAAAATATCAAAATATGAAAAAATATCAAAATATTCGCCATAAAAAGGTGTTTGCATTGTTCAACTTTGCATTAAACTTTTGGTTGAATGGCCTTTCAACTAATCGCTTTCAACAAAGTTGGTCGCCAGCCAACATTTAGCCATTCAACTTTTTTTTAGTGCAACCCTGCGTTGAGTTGAACGCAATTGTTGAACGCAAAGTTGAATAATGCAAACACTGCTTAAGGCCTTTGGATAACCTATAAAATATAGTTACCATGAAAAAATTGTTAAAGAAACAATTGAGTATTATTACTGGGAAACTCCTGAAGATAAATAAAGTTTTCGGATCGAAAAATATTTATTTTCAAGAATTCTACACTATTTCTACGAAAAGATGTTTTTTTCTGCATATAAAATACATGGAAAACTTTGAGCGCTTTGAGCACTCCCTAAATATATTTTGATTTCAAAATAAAAAATAGGGGTATATTTTTTTCGATATAGATCAATCCTAGGGTGTGCCGGTATTAAAACTCCGACTTTATTTTTTTGGACCACTCTAATGTACATACATATCGTCGTTTAAAGTGCAAAACCGCGTATCAGCAAAATGCAAAACCGCGTATGTGAAGTTGTAGACATTATTTTCTAGAGCGTACAAACACTAATATTTCAAAATGGTTCTCTTTTTTATAAAGCAATCGCATTTCTGGCTACTATATTTCAGGACGAATGGATAAGGATTGAGCTTGTGTGAGCAAATCCAATTTTTGGCAGCCAAAGTCAGTTACGCGGTTTTGCAGAATGACGATACGCGGTTTTGTACTTTAAACGACGATATGTAATATATAATAACCCAGCTAGCAGAGAAACGTACTTTTTGCCGAAAGTGCAGTTTTCGTACATTTTTCGTTTCCGGAAATGTTCAGAAAACGATTTTCATATTTGTTCATTTTTCGTATCCGAAAAATGTCATCATCTTATTTCAAAACAATAATTTTAAAATATTTGTTCAAACTGAGCATTTGAAAACATGTATACGTATTCGCCAGTAGCTGAGTGTGCAGAGAAGTGTGCTACTATTTGTTAGCTTTCAGGAGGTTCCAGGTTCGAATTCCGTCAGAAGCAACACATTAAAATTAGTTATTCAAATTGAAATAATTGCTGAATCTTAAATTTGTATTTTGTTTGGTTTCCTGTATCTATGAAAAAGTTTCTGTGAAGTTCATAATGAAATCGTTTTCAACGAAAAATTTAATCAAACAAATTTCAGGAAAACAGCCGAAAGCGCATCCGTTTTACAGCCATTTTCGATAGTTTTCTGCACATACGTTTCGGATGAACACTTTAGTGGGAGAATTGATCTGAAAAACGTCCGAAAACGGAATCGGAAAACGGATGAAACATCAGGTTTTTATACGAAATTGTTTCCATTTTCGGATACGTTTCCGGATATTTTGCTGGCTGGGATGTAAGTACATAGTGGTGTATAAGTAAACTTACTATTATTTGTCCATTTCCAGGAAACTGTAAAATCATGCCATGTCTATCCCTCTTTTCCTTCTCGTTCAACGGCCGAACTCTGACCACCACATTTACGTTATCCTCCGGCGTTGAAGGTTCACTGCCACTGGACTTAGAAGCCACTATTTCCATCGTATCTGCGCTACCAATTCTGAAAAATTAGAACAAACGAACCGAGGAAATGAATTTAGCATTTCTAGGGATTGACATAACAAGAGGTGAGATGAACTAGACTTACACATGTACATTAGGGTGGTTCAAAGTTCTTTTTCAGCCATCTCCCAGAACTGAAGAATATCGAAAATAAGGAGACCCGTATTTTTTTATCTGGTAATCGGTTAATATTTAATAATAATATATGTCGCCAGAAAACTATTTTTTTTTTTTTGAAGAATTACTATAAAATCTTTAAATATCATCAAAACATAAAATTATGAGTATTTTCGATACGAACGATAATCTCATCTCTTATATTACGTTTACAAAGGGCAATACAATTGAGAATATGTATTAAATGACAAATTGTTGTGTAAAAGGCAGTAAAATTTTAAAGTTAAATATGCATTATCATCTTAAAGTATAAAGGTTTCTGAAGGGATATACATATTTGTATTCTTTCAAAAAAATATTTTTACTATAGATTTTATAGCAATTCTACGAAAAAAGGTTTTTTTACCATAAAAAATACACGAAAACTTCAGACCTCCGATGACACGGCTAAATATTAACCGATTTCAAATTAAACGATATTCTTCAGTCCTGTAAAGGAACTATGACAATCGCTACACCATATTTCGTCGCCAAATTTCTCTAAACGAAAATCAGTTTAGGCTCCCTAAACGTATACAACAAGGAAAAATAACAGATGCAATGTGTAATAAGCCAAATTTGGCAATATGAGGGGTATGTAACTCGATGTTGCATGTTTGGAGATTTTTGGCGATCAAAATTAGCGATATCGAATGTTGGAATCCGGCTGTTGGGGGATGGCAGCGGAAAAATTCTATAAGTTGATTTTCCTGTGTATTTTTGAACCATCCTACATGCATACATTTGTATTAGACTGACTAGAAAAAATTTATGGCGCTTCCTTTTTTAGGCACATATGTATTAGGGGGATGGTTCCGTGTGCAGATGTCCACTTAAGTGTTGAAAGTGATTCTTACACGTACGGTTCAATCGCAGCTCACTACCTCCGGATATTTATATCCACGTATCCTCTAGTTAGCGACCAAACAGCTGTTTGAGAGCGAGCTAAAGTTCAATTGAACCTCGAATGAGACCCCCTTCTCTTGATGACGACCACGGCAAACGTATAAAGTACTATGATTTGAGGGTATGCACATGGAATATCGACATAGGCCGAAAATTTATATCGGTACGTTTTTGAAATGTAGATAATCGCCACGCATCCAGATACAGGTTCCGTGACTTACCGATATATCGGGAAGTAATGAACCTAAATTTAAAAAATAATCAATGGGCAGTTTTCGGATTTGTCTCATTTTATTAGAGATTTTTTTGTAATACCCATATCAAAATATATGTTCCTAGTAGAGAAAACCACTTCCCCATCGAGTTCGGCCACCTCAAAAACATATATGTACAACCTTAAAAATCTTCAAAATCTGAAGGATTTCGGGTGCACACGGATTGAAGAACGAGTAATTTTAAATTCTTCAGGTGGATACACAAAACTTACAAATGCTATTATTTTTCAGGTGATGGATTTTAGCTATAAAGGAAGCTAAAGATCATGTGCTTCAGATGAAGCAACGAAGCATTTTACATTTTTTCTGAAGTCTAATATACATATGTGTATGTGTGTATGTATGTATAATCTTGCTCAAAAAAATAATTCCTTGAACTTGAGCTTGACATTGGTCGCGTTATAAATAACTACTTTTCCTGCTACCCCTGCCATTATTTCTGATAAAAATGCAAATAGAGGGCGACCACGATTTCCAACTCATAACTTTGTATAAACATACATATGTATATACATAGAAATATGTAGGGTATTGGCTATTGCCTGACGCAATTACTTACTTCTGTGCAAGTCACTCACGCTTACATGTTCGTAAGTATGTTTCAATATGAACATATCACTGAGGCGCATAAATTACCGAGCTTAAAGCTTGCAACACGCAAACTATGCGTTTCCATTCCCTTTCCTGAGTTTACACGGCGTTACATACAATGTCGACCTTAACCGTGCGAGCGCCCTGGCAAGTTATACATTTGGCGCCCTCTTTTTGCCCGACGTTATATTTAAAAAGCATTTGTTATCTAAACAATCTACCCATGGTGTCTCAGTTTGAAAATCACGAAAATACAAGTAAACATACAATATTTAATAAGAAAAAATAAAAAAACAGCAATTTTTTGCTTATTTGGTCAGCGCAGGGTAGTTTTTCTGAAACCTTTTGGTTTCATTGGACAGTAATTCATTTTATTTAAGACATTATATGCCGGACAATTGTAACACTTGGAAATTGGAAAAACTGTTGCTTGCCACTTACAACAATAGTTTTATGCCAATAGCCTTCGATATATCCATATATGAGCCGTTTATTTTGAAAGTGGTATAAGTCACTTCCCAGCTCTTGAACTTAAATGATCAGTTACTGGTATCTGAACGCGTCGGTTATTCGTTCAACTTCATCAACCATTGCTAGAAGGTTTTGTCATTAGTTTACGACGATAGACCGATTTGCAGATGTATTCGGTTACAAGTAACCGGCCATTTAAGCGCAAGGCGACGAGGTGACTTATACCACTTTCAAAATAAGCGGCTCATATGTAGTATGTAAATAATACTTCTATATTTATAGTAACATATCTTCACAATGTGTTTTTATTCCGCAGCCTATGCCACTGGGAACATAGATACCAGGGTTGTTGCGAATATTATTCCGAAATAAAAGTCCTTTCCGAATAATAAACAAACCGCTATCCAAATTAAACAAGTTTGATATCAAATGAAAGAGGACTTAAATAGCTTTAAAACGCGAATGTCTAAACGAGGAGAGCCACATATTGAAAAATATTTCAATAAAAAATGTTAATTAATTACCATAGAACAAACCTTGTTTCAGGTATATGAATTTCTTTAGTATTAAATTACAAAAAAAAAGAAGATGTCGTTCATTATTTCTGGTTAAAAGCTATTTCAGTCCTCTTTCATATGATACCAAATTTGTTTAATTTGGAGAGTCGGTTTTTTTATTATCCGGAAAGGACTTTTATTTCGGAATAATATTCGCAACAACCCTGATAGGTACCTAAGCACCTTACGAGGTAAGCCGTGTTTTCTTTCAGTTTTTAGTAACAAAATTTTCATCATGACCAATGCCATCTACTAGTAAAGCACAAAATGAACACCTCCTATGACGCATTACGTACGGCCGAAGTTATTTCCAAGCGCCGAACAACTCCGAACGACTGCTCTGCATTATACGTAACTTGCTTTGTAAAGGTATGATTATGCAACCTTCGCAAAACTTCGCACAACCGTTTGTACCAGTGCATAAAAATGTAACTTAAGAAAATGTGAAGCGAAATCTAAACTCAACAGATCGCTAAGTTTTTAAAAGTTCTGCTAATTTCTGGGCAATGGAATACATAAAAAATACATAGAGAGTACATACGAAATTACAGTTTGAAATTTATGCGAAGTTGTGCGAAGTTATGCGAAGTATGCATAATCAGACCATAAAGCGGCTCAGAAGTATGTCTGATACCTAATGTAAATTCCAAATTCCTACTTACATAAGGCGGCCACGTCTTTGTTAAAGTAAGGGAGATTCATCAGTGAAGTGGTAAGGACCGCCGGGTGAAGTGTAAGTTGCTGGTAAGGTATTGCCCTTCACCCGGCGGTCCTTACCACTTGCATGCCGAATCTCCCTTACTTTAACAAAGGCGTGGCCGCCTTATGTAAGTAGAAATTTAGAATGTACATTTGGTATCAGACATACTTCTGAGCCGCTTCATATACTCAGTTAAGTAGAACGTAGAGCAGTCGCTCGGAGTAGTTCGGCGCTTGGAAATAACTTCGGGGGTACGTTATTTTGCAACTGGGTAAGGCTTATCCAAGTGGGCACCGAATTTACCAACATTAATATTTTTCAATGATATTCAGGCAGCGGAGGTGTTCATTTTGTGCTTTACTAGTAGATGACGTTGGTCATGATGATAATTTTGTTACTAAAAACTGAAAGAAAACATGGCTAACCTCGTAAGGTGCTTAGCTATTTTCCCAATGGGATCAAATAAATGTTTGCTTGTGTTAGTATAAATGTATATTTGTGAACTACTACGAACAAACAACTGTCAAGTTACTCCAGAAGCGGCTTAAATAAAAAATATTGAATAAATTAAAAAAAAAAAATCCCTGGAAGCGATTGGTGCAAGCTTTGTGGTAATCGGCAGATTTGAATAAACAGCAAGAGATGTACATATAAGTTACACTTGAGGCGATCACCGTAATCACTCTTAAAAGATATACAGTGAGGATGCGTGCCTTCCTTTCCAGCACCTTAGCCGGCATGTAGCGTCTGCCAGTTTTCCCTAATACGGCTCATCTTTAAGTAAATAGTATAACATACATTTCATTTTCCTTACTTTTTTGCTTCTACAAACAGCACAGTTCCGCACAAGTTTTAATATTTTTTTTTTTGGTTTTAAAATTAAAATATAATTTTGTAAAATACTGACGTTTACTGCACCGCTCTTAATTTTTTTATTTTTTTCAAACTTCATTCTGGGTACATTAGCTGATTGGTTTTCTCGTTCTATCATTATATATCTGCACTCTAATGTTGGCAGATGTACTTTCAACGTACTCCCAATATAGAAGTATTACATATATGGATATTGGATATATATATGATGGCGCCATGTCAGTTGGAGTAAAGATTTTGCAATGTGCCACTCAGAAAGATTAAGAGTTTTTATTCTTTCAATTTGAGACTCAGACTCTTATCTATAAAATTACTTCTAAGTAACCCTGCAGGAAATGTATCTAACTGTAAGCTAACTTTAACTTGATTAGGAAGGAGCTAAAAGTCACTTATTATCTGTATAGTTTCTTTGATGAAAGCTAACTATATTTCTATGGCGATGGCCGCGAAATAGTCAAGGGTGGTTTAC